TCGATATCAAGAGCTATTTTGAAATGCATTGCTAAAGTGTTTCATAAGGTTAATTATGTGGAAACCGATACTCAAATTTATGATTGTACTCTTAGAATATTATATGAGTTACCTTGTGCATGTGAGTTAGGAAAATATACATTGGAAGGTTATTCGATACTAAAAGATGTTCATTTCTAATGGAAGAAATTAAGCATGGAAGGTAACAAAAGATAGACACAAATGATGTATCAAAGATGAACGTGATTATTGCGATTGGAAAAGAGCATTAAAAGGTGAGTGTGAAATTTCTTACCCTGCTATGAGTTTAATGTGACAACTGCCTAAAAAATAGAAATCAAAGGATGAGCGAAGAAGAAAGGGAAGAAACCAATGAGATGTATCAAGACCTTTCATATCATGAGCATGTTGATAAAGTATGGTCTAATTTTCAAATATCGTAAAATAGTTAATGCAAACCACTATCTCAATCTTCTCAGAGTCAATCATCTCATAAGCAGTCATCGAAAAACAATCATCTAAGAAGCAATTATCTCATAATCAATTCATGTTTTAATTTCTTAAATATATTAGGCCATATATTGATGGCATAGTCGATGTTGAAATAGAGGAAAGTTGTGGGTTTAGAGTTATTGCATCATGGATATGGTGAAGATGGTTGGTCCATAGTCCGTCGAAACTTGGATAATAAAATAATAGCTAGACAAAGTGTCTGTGAGAAGTTATTGTGAGAAGTTATTCGGAGAATGCTTATAAGAAGTGAGAGAATCTTTAAAGATATCATGTTTAGGTCTTCAACCACAATATCACACACACACACATATATATATATATATATATATATATATATATATATATATATATATATATATATATATATATATATATATATATATATATATATATATATATATATATATATATATATATATATATATATATATATATATATATATATATATATATATATATATATATATATATGACATTCTTATCAGTTTAGAGAATCTTAGTCTGACTTTCTTTTCTATGACGATTTCACATTCACTTATGATCTCCATTTATTGCATTGATTTTGTCAACCAAAATTATCAGGTAGAAATAATTACAAATACTTATTTTTGTTAAAATAATTACTTACTTTTATGTAAAGTATAATTTTGACATTATTTTTTTAATTATGTAAAAATGAAACAAGGATTTATGTTGTCCCAAATCATATTGGAAGGGAAGAAATTTCATTTCCTCGGAGCAACATCATGGAACATTGGCAGCAACTTCATTATCCCTTGCTTCTCATAATTTTAAATCCGACTCTTTGCTTGGTTACCAACAATTGAAATATACTCATGAATCTAACAATATTACAATATTAATAATATCAATAATAAAAAAAACTAAATGAATATATATATATATATATATATATATATATATATATATATATATATATATATATATATATATATATATATATATATATATATATATATATATATATATATATATATATATATATATATATATATATATATATATATATAATGATGTATCTGTCGAGCGTAAACATAATGTGTATAGGATGACAGTAACATCTTAAACTCCAACTCTTAATTTAAAAGAGAATAAATCACACTTTAGGATGCTACTCAAACAATATGTATATTTTTTGAATATTTTTTAGCAATAATTATATTTTGAAAAAAAATACACAAATAACCATGTTTCAGAGAAAATTACGCAAATAACCATGTTTTAGAAAACGTTATAATGCAGTAGTCATCTCAGATGGCGCATGCATTAATTTTTGTAAAAGAGGCGCCAAGTGAGATGGTGCCTAGGTGCATGTCATTTTCCCTAAGACATCTCAGATGGCGCTTAGGTACAAAATTCTTTTTTTTGTTAAAGAAATAAAGAAATAAAAATTACACATTATTTAGTTGTCTTCAGGGACTCGATAACGATTTGTGGTTCCGCACCCGTGTCCTCGCTTAACTCGTAGTGCGTTTCGACATATTTCTTGTTATGGTTGAGTCGAGGGTCCATGCGAAGTAAATGCGTTCAAGATCCATGAAAGTCATAAGATCATCATATCTAGAAGATCTGCTTTCAAAGAGTAGGTTACCCATGCCCTCAAAGTTTGGTCGTATTGGTTGGGGAAGAGGTTCCATGGGGGTCGATAACACTGATCGTCTGAATAAGGGGGATAAAAATGGGCGAGGTCATACGACAATGGACAACGATGCGGTCACATGATAATAAATATCATTGAATCAATGAACGATGTATTCAAAGGCATACGAAACCTCCCAATAACCGCTTTGGTGAAATCAACATAGTTTAGGATGACTTCATTGTTTGCAAAAAGAGGTGAAATGTGGAACGCGGTGTTACAATCGGGACAATTATGGAGTGAAAGTTGCATGAAATTTATTAAGGCAGAAAGTGTCAAAGCCAACACCCATCTTGTTACAAGGTTCGACTGACATAACTACAACTTCATTGTCAAAGAGACAATCGACCACAACGAGGAGCTGCCAAGACAAGAGTATATGATTATACTACTATCTCGTTAATGCGATTGTGAAAAGTTTCAAGTCTTTCGTATGTCTTGCTCTCACGTCATTGCGGCATGTACATGTGCTGATCACGATGCATTACTATTTATATCTCCCATTTACAAGGTCGAGACCTTGCTCAGCGTGTACAACAATGACTTTCTAGTGGTGGCGAATCCGGATTATTGGCCTGCGCACGAAGAGGAAATAGTTTGGCACAATGATCAAATGTGAATGAATAAAAAGGATCGTCCCAAAAGTAAGCGCATCACAACTGAAATGGACTCCCTTGACAAGCTAGAAAGAAAGTGTGGTTTATGCCGTCAGGTAGGAAACAGTCAAAAAATTGTCTCACCCTTGCTACTAGCTCGACGACATAAATATTGAATGCAAACTATCTGCACTTTTTAAAGATCTAAATGAATTTTTTTTCATTAAGAGCATTTATTACAACAAAGCATACGCAAACAACAAATAAAAACACATCACGACTAAAACAACAACAAATACAACACGTCAATATAACATCAACAACACGATAAAATATCTAAGAAATTACAATCGTCAAAACAATTTTGTCAGATTTGTGCATCATCATTACGTCTCTGTCTGTTTTGATTTCTTCCAACCAAGAATGAGGTCTTCTAGTTAAAAGTGAAGTGGTTGTTCTTCTTCTCTGGATCCTTTTAATTTATTCCCCAACTACGATGTCTCCGTCTAACCATCACATCAATTCTCTCTTCAGTTTGTCTATGGTACGAATGTGTCAAAATTTCATTTTCATCAGAGGTTCGGTGGCAAAAAAAATAACGTACTCATCTCTGATGAAAATCACGGGAGATGTCATGACATAAAAAAACTGAAAGAAAATGATAAGAGAATGTGAGAAAGTGTGAAGAATAATGATAAATAGGTGTTTAATTTATAGAAAACACACTTGCATGTAAGAGCCATCTCAGATGGTGTCTCCTCCCTAATTTATAGAGTATGTGCCATCTCACATGGCTTAAAGGAAGTGTAGGCGCCAAGTGAGATGGCGCCTAAGGTCAAAGCTTCAGTGCATGCGCCATGTGAGATGACTACTGCATTATAAAATTTTTTGAAACATTATTATTTACGTAATTTTATCTAAAACACGGTTTTTTTTTAAAACATGATTATTGCTAAAAAAAATTCATATTTTTCGTCATTTAAAATCAATAACTCAAAGGAAAAATTAAATAAACAATTAACTTCAATAATCACATTAAAAGAAGTACTGAATTAACAAAATAATTCAAATCATAACTCAAACAAATAAACGACATGTTTCTGATGTCACATATCAGAGCATTTAAATCAACTAAAATGCGATAAACAATAAAATAAATAAAGAGAGCTTTAAAAGTCCTCGTCTAACTCACAACGCTAAATCACTCATCATGAGTATCTGTACAATAGAGTACAGGCAACATAAAAACAACAAAAAAGGGTGAGAATACACTTTAATATATATTAATGGTGTAAAGAATAAAAGGGTAAAATAAAACATACAACACCACATTCAATTACACCACGATACCACAATCAATCCCATCATTCTCACAGATCCTGTATGTATGTATGTAATGTGTCTTACGACTCGACTCTATGTATGTGATATCAATTGGACATCAGAGATTTGTTACTGATATTTTCCACTCAACAATGGTTATGTATTCAAACCAGGTCTCCACTCCTAAACCCAGAGTCCCCACTTTGCCTCTTTCACAACACGACATATATAATGCATGGCATACAATAATGCAACAACTACGACAATGTTTAACTAAAAGTGAATGGTTCATTATCTTATTATATTATATTATTAAATTAATTTTTATTCGATAAAAATAAATGTATTAATAAAAACACGTAAAACAGTTTTAATATATATTAAAAATTAAAGATGACATCAAAATATATTAAATTTATATATAAATGTTATAATGAAATTATCGAGATACACATGAAATAATAATAATAACCATGTAATTTTGAATTCAGTTATATTAATCCAAAATAATACTAAAAATAAGTTTTATTGTCTTGATTGATCTCATTGATTTTTCTCTAACGTTTCACTAACTTGAGAATTATCAATATTCGAAATTCATTTATAATTTAAATGTTACTTAAAAACGTTAAATATTGCAATGATATTTCGAAATTCAAACCACTACCTTCCATTGTATATGCCACCTCAGCCGGCAATTTGTTTTTCAACCCAGTTGCTTTCATGGTTCTTCAATATCGCTTATCTTGTTAGATCTTGCTTCGCTATCCTTCTTTGTTGGATCCTACTAACACAAGATTTCAAAGTTTCACACAATCCATCAGAAGTCACAGTCTGGTGAATTTAGGGTGGCTTCAACGAACAATATTTGCGAAAACACCATGGGATAAGGAAATACGACTAGTTATATGATGTGTCACACAAGAGAGCAAAGGAATAACAATAGAAGGAAGAAAGTTTTAGTTTTGAGAAAGCTCTTTTCTATGGTACATTATTGCAATAGTAATAATAGTTCGGTAAGTGGACAAATAATCTCTGGAAAACACTCCAAATTATCTTCAATACCTGGCAGAAGTCTGGCCAAGAAGAATCGCATATGCCAACATGTTTTTTCTTTTGTAATAACCTATGCCAAAACTTTTGGCGTGGTAATGCTGGATTCGCAAGAAGTATTGGCTGCAATTGTAGTAAAACTAGCAAAGTCATCTAAACTGGCAATTGCAATGCCATCTCACAAAGTCCTGGGTCAGTGTCTAAGAGGGTTTTTGTTGCAAAATCTATACATGGATTCATCCAAGAAATATCGAGTGGTATGTCAGAAGGACCTGAATTTTCATTTGCCTCGTCAGTATCACAACTTTCAGCAGCAACAGCAGCACACTCTGAATGATAAAGTCTTCTACAGGTGAAAACACATTGCACTCTTGCACTTTGATTTTCTTATGATGCTCTTAAGCAGCAGCAGCCAATTGGTTGTTTGGTTGTTAGGTTTGGCTCTTCAGCAGCAGCCAAAAATTCAGAATGCTTAATGTTCTCAAGCTCAGAAGCAGTTTGAGAGTTTTTGTAGGCTTAAAACTTACTCCAGCGAGAGTTTGTATTCCATACAAGGATCTGTTAAGACTTATCCAAGAGGAAAGTTAACTCAAGGGAGTGCTCGAACTCTCCGTCAATTTGTCCACATGTTCTTTGACAGTAGCTAGATTCTACATAGACAAAAAGGAAAAGCATTCCTGATCATTGTCAATACCATGCTTCTCTACAGTCTTCTCGGGAAGCATTTTCAGAGTAAACAATTTCAGGATAAGAGTGTTCGTTCTGACTTCCCTAAGGTGAATTCACTGTGTTTGGGACCACTGAAGTATTTGCTCTTTAGTCTTTGAACTACATTAAACTGTTCAGCAACATCATTAGGCAGCATTACAGACGTTCTTCCACAATTGTGATCACTTCTCCCTAGCTCAATTTCTTGTTTTAACCTATCAGAGTGGATCATACTCAATCCCAACAAGGTCCTTCAATGCATAGCTAGGCAAATGGATATCTTCTCTAGTACTCGTATTTGTGCTGACTATTGTTAAGCTTTTCAATTTTTATTGAACTCTTATTGGAAGGTGCTTATCCGGGGAAGCTCCATTTGTGCAAACTGGAAACACTTTCAGCTAAGTCAAACTTCCCTTCTTTATTTCTGACCCAAACCTTTAGCTCACCATAGAACTGAGCTGGTCAATTGGGTGCTGACAGGACCTATATCATGTCATAAACATAAATCACTTACAATATCTTCAAATAGTTACTTGAACAAGAACACACTTTGACAAATATAAACTCTACCGTAACTCTACCGTGAACACATAATTGTCTTAATTTTTAGTAGGCATCATAAATAATTAGCGGAAATATAATTTAATATATTGTAGAACAGTTAATGGCATCCCAGAAACATAGTTAAAAACATATACAAAACTTATGGGACTCGGTGTTGTTGTCCCCGAGAGAAATAAGAAATAGGTCAGAACTTTGCACTGACTAGAAATATGTTCAGAGATAAACATGTACATAGATTCTCCTGCTCGAGCAGCAATGGGAATCTGTTGATCATGGGCTATTGCGTTCAAATTGGAGCTCCAATCCATGCCAACTAACAGTGTTGGTTTCATGATTACTCCTTATTGAGAAAGAATCACTGACTCGAGTTTGTCGAAGTAGAAGTGTCTACACTACAGATAATTAAGGTTAAGATGGGGAAGGAGGGTAAGCAATGAAATAAACTCAAAAAGAGTACACTTTTGTTTAAGAAAAACAGCTATGATCTCTTTTCCACTGTGTGTTAATATGAAGAAGATATTGTTCTCGGGTAAGAGATTGTGCAAGAACAGATAAGAAATCCATGATAAAACAGAAAGGAAAATGTACACACATTGAAAACACTTCGAAGGGTTTACTTTCTGCTTCCCAAACCTCGCAATTCTCTTATCTTTCTCTCTGGCCATCTCCCCTCTTCTCCTTTAATCCCATTCCAACTCCCTAAATCTAATTCCTGTCAAACAGGTAGATTGTTACAAATTACAATCAATGTTGTCAAAATAGCAAGTTTACCTAAGCGCAATCCAGCAAATTTCACACAAATTTCAAATCCCATGCACACTTAGGATAGCAATTTGGTGGATCAGATTAGAATCCCTGAGGAAATTCATAAAACTAGCGGAATAGATGATTTCGACCTAGTAATGGTGGATTAGAGTGAAATCACTAAGGAAATAACATCAGTGGGATAGGTATTTCGACCTAGTAATTCTTCTGGTCCCCACAATCAATTTCGCACTCTGAGCCAACTTGCTTCACACCCGGATCCAAATAATAAATCTTACACCTCAAACATAAAGCAATATTTTAGCAAATAATTTTCCAAAACTAATTTTCCTCAAGGCTAACAAACACACCTAGTTTGTGAACAGTGTCAAGTATATAGGAAAAAAGAAACTCAATGTGTAGCATAGCAACATGGTAAACTATAAGCTATTTGAGAATTAGTTAAAGCAGCATAACTTGACTATGGTATCATAAAAGCAGTTTTAAACTGTTGTCAGATTTGCAGATGCAATTGCATTGTGATATTTGAAATTGCAGGAAAAAATGGTCGATGCAGCCGCAATTGCAGCTGCAGAGATTCCAAAAACCTTGGTGTCGTAGCCACAATTACAGTTGTCACCATATAAATATCAGAAACATGGTAGATATAATAGGCGACGAGGCGTCGAGGCTTATATCAAAAACATGGTGGATATAATAGGCAATGAGGCCTGCGACCGACAGCAATTTGACAACACTTGTAGACCAAAATCTAAAACTTTGTTTGAAAGGGCAATATACATAAATGGCAAGAGCGGCTTGTATCAGGTATAAAATCTCACACTCGGTTACATTTCCATAATCATGGATGTATATCCACTTTAACAAGGTCAAATCACTAGGTTACTTACTGGTTTCTATCAAGCTGTTAGTTCTCGAATATTACAAAATAACCAAAGAACTCTATGCTTTAAAATATGTACGCAGACTATATAGCTACACCGGCAAAAAAGGAAACAAAATAAACAACCCTAAACTATGGCAAGTGTTAATTATACATGTAAGTCACAAAATCCTCACCAGAAAATCGGCAAGCCCTTAACTTCAGACTCTGAGCCTATAAGAGAGTCAGCTCTTGTGGGTTTTCCATAGATTGTCTGAGAATATACTCAGCCCTCCTTTTCTTATCGTCTCTTTCATCTTCTCTCCCAACCAAAGATATAGCGTGCAAGGCATCCTTCTTCTTATTTCTATCACCAAAAGACTCCCCAATGAACCTCTTCCCAGTTCTGAACTTGAAATTCACAGTAGGCCTTGCAGTAGCAGCAGGAATAACTGATTTCTCTCCTTCAATCCCATCATCACACAAAACACCACCACCACCTAGCATCTCGATTGCAGGAGCAAAAGCCTCCAACACCGAAACATGGTCTCCATCAACAAGTGGCAACTTAGACGGCAAAACAACCGGAACAGGAGCAACATCTACATCTTCATCAGGAACAGCTGCTGCTGTTTCTGTGGATCCATTTCGGTTACGGTTACTGTTACAAAGCAACAAACGCTTCTGCAAATTCAACAATGACCTCTCAGCCTTTCTACGCTGTCTAGCTTGTTCAACCTTATCCTCACGGGGATCAGAGACTCTTTCATCCCAAACAGGTGTATGAATGTAAGTATGAGGATCAGGTAATGCCGGTAACCATGGCGGTATATGCTTCGACGGGGGAGTTTCACCCATTTGTATAAAACTAGGAATGTTTCTCCGTTCACGAGTCACCGGAAAATGAGGAATCGGTTGAGCAAACGAAGTCTCAGGCATAGATTCAGCGTAACTCATAATTTCCTTCATACCATTTGAAAACCCTCGAGGCGCTTCTAAATCTTCCCATGCCCGAATCAAATCGAAAACGCTGCACTGTGATCTACCGGCGAGGTTGGCGTGGAATTTCGCCGTTTTGCCGAAGTCGATCAGGTAACGGATTACGATGTCAGAGAAAGATTCAAGAGCCGAGTCTTTGACGGCGAGAAACCCTGCGGCTTCACATAGTTGAGCCACCGCGAGCTTCGCCGTGGCTCGCCCGAAGTCGTCGGGGGTAGCTCTTATTGTGGAGATTGTGTTCTTTGGAGGAGAAATTAGGGTTTTCGCATTGATTTCAGATTCATCTCTCGCTGCCATTGAAGAGAAAATAAAACCGGATAAAGGGTTAGAGAGAGAGAGAGAGAGAGTATTTGAGAGATGTTGCAGGGCAGGATAGGGTAGACAGGCCAACCGAGTAGTAGGCTCAAACCATATTGATGTCGCACACCATTTTTCAAAAACATAGGTGTATAAATAATTAGATTTAAAGAAAATTACAAGCATCTCCTAACCGATAAAATCACATGAGAAACAAACTTCTAAAGTTTTTTAAATGTATATAAAAGTCGATGTATAAGGTTTCTTCAACTACTCTGAATTTATTAAAAATTTTAATGAAAAATAGACTTTTAAATGGATTTTTACGTCCGGTCAAATTTTTAAAAAAGACCTGATCGGACTAAAAAAATTAATATATAATAGGTCATAGATTAGATTCAGTTCTTATAAGTTTATGGTAGTCCAGACTCAAGTCTTATAAAGTCTAGTCTAGTCTAGTATATTTCCGCCCCTACATATACTAATAATATTTTGTTATATAAAATTAATTTTTAAAATCACATATTAACATAAAACTTTAAAATATTGAATTTATGTCTTTTCTCACTTAAAAAAAGTTCAATATTTTCTTTCTATTCAATATGAGAATTATTATTCACACTTGACATACCAACATCTTACTACTCAAAATTAAATTCTATATTATTTTTTTTATTTCTTTTTAATTATTTAAGGTTTTATATTAATATGTGATTTTAAAATTTTATTTTATATGACAAATTTTGATTGATACACGTCATAAGACGTAAATTATCTCTAAGTTTATAAGGGGTAGTCAAGAATTTACCATATATATATATATATATATATATATATATATATATATATATATATATATATATATATATATATATATATATATATATATATATATATATATATATATATATATATATATATATATATATATATATATATATATATATATATATATATATATATATATATATATATATATATATATATATATATATATATATATATATATATATATATATATATATATATATATGTATAAATGATGTATTCGATTATTATTATTATTATTATATATTAGATATATTAATTATTCAATAAATCTAAAAAAAATTGTTGCTTATAATAGTGGTCAGATGATGTATTTTAAAACTAGAGGGATTA